GCGTGGGGCAAAGCAGGGGCACACGTCTGCGGGCAAAAGGGAATCTCCACTAGGCTTCACCAGGCAGCCAGCCAGACATTTCAGAAGGGGAAAGACATTCCATGTTCCAGGGAGGGACTCCAGGCCCCGCCATGCGGACCGCGCTGGACCAGACGGGGGCAGGTGCACCCTGCAACAAAGAAGCTGAAGATGATCAGCCAGCTTGAAGCGCTGGCTCGTGTCTGTGCCAGAGGCAGCGGAGGCTGCCGTCCTCGGAGGGCGCAGAGCCAGAGCAGGGCAGGGGGGCACAGGGAGACTGCGGCAGAGCAGGCAGAGCGGGGCTCCTAGCGCAGGGAGGAGGGAGGGCCTGAGCCCCGGGGGAACCTTTGGGGAGGGGATGGCAGGCCCGGCCCCGCAGCTCCATGGGGCCTGAATGCCGGCTTCACGGCCTGGGGTCCCGGGTGTCAACAGGGCCAGGCTGGGGGGAGGGCAGCAGGGTGCAGAGAAGGCCCGGCAGACGGGGGCTTAGCCCCAGCGGGAAAGGGGGCACAGTCACAGGGCGGGGAGAACCAACCACAACAAGGCGCTGGAACTGGGAACAGCCTTCTGCTGACATTTTAAATTTCCAATATGCTCTAACTGCTCTTCCTTTAGGATTTTTCTCATTTGTTCCATTATTTTAGAGCAGAAACAACTTAGTAGAACTCAAGTGGCTGATTGCCCATTAAGACCTGAGTTCCAGCTGCAGAGCGAGGCGGGAACAAGGAGGTGGCAACTCACAGAGGCCGAGGGTGGTCCCAGCAGAGCCAGGTGGTCCCCCTGACAAGGGGCTGTCCCCCAGGGGGCCGCTAGACCAGGGTGATGCACCAACAGGCGGTCCCTTTCAATGGCACTTATCATGGTCCCCAGGATGGTCAGTCTTGCCCAGATGAGGCCTCTCACCAAACCCAAGCCCAAGGCCAGGTCTGGGGGTCCCACAAAGGCCTCACTCTGCCTCATTCAGGAGGTGGGCAGACCCACGCCCGGACGTGCCACCAGGCAGGACCCCTCAAGCTCCCTGATGCCAAGGGCATCGTCCCGTCATGCCCCGGGCAACCCTGCCGAGCTCATCCTTGCTCCGGACACGGGTGGGAGAAAGGAGCAGGTTCTGAGGTCAGGGGAAGCTGCGGAGAGAAACAGCAAGCCCTCTGGGTAGGGACAGGATGCATCAGCTCCTAGAGCAGAGTCCTTGGAGCTGTGGCTCTGGCTCTCCGGGCTTGGGGTCTCCCACTCCCTCCTCCTTCATCTGGGGCTGGGAGGTGCCAGGTCCCACCCGCCCCCCCGGCAGGTGGAGGTGCAGGCGATGGGGACAGGTGTGCAGAGGTGTTGCTGGCCGCGTGAGGCCGCAGCCCTGGCCATATGGTAGTTCCCGGCCTGGGTCCTCCTGAGGCCACCCAGTCTGCGAGAAGGGCTCCTTCCCCACAACACCAGTCTTCTCTGAGGAAGGAAACCTCTTCATTGGGCCCCACGTACGGCCGGCATCACAGCCCCTTCCCGCCAGCCGAATCCCGCGGTGTCCTGCCCGTCACCAGGCACCCTGCAACAGTGGCAGTTTACTATCTGTCCCTCCCGGGGGAAGCAGGGGGCAGAGGGGCCATGGCTCAGGGGGACTCAACAAGCTGGATCCCGGCTCTCAGCACATAGCAGCTGCTCAGTAAACTCGTTTGGATAACTAAGCTATTTGCCCTGTCCGCTCTGACTCCTACAACAAGCAGCACAAGTAGCATCCCCGCGTGACAGTGGAGAAATCCACGGCAGAGAGATGTTAGGTAACTAACCCGGGGCCGTGGGGGTGGCAGTGGAGGCGCTTAGGACAGGACCGCCGTCTGGCTCCTGCCATGGCTGCCAGCCACCTGGGATGCTGCTTCTGTGTAGACCCAGGAGGGACCCAGACCCGGGAAGATAAGCCACGTCTGCCCTCTGAGCCTCTTCTGCACAACCTCTGCAGGAGAATCCGGCGGATGGAACACGGACCCCTCAAGTGGACCCCAGATCCCCGTGGCGGCCTCCCACTGGATACCTGAGCAGGTGAAGTGACTGTGTGTGCTGGAGTCTCCTTCACACCAAGGAAGCAGTGAACCAGCCTCCCGAGGGCCGCCACGGTTTCTCTAGGAACCTGGAACACCTACGGTACGATCACTACGGGACGTCCTCAGACGGGGACGCTGGCTGGCTGTCCCTACGGACAATGTTACGTCCGCACCCCAAGCTTTGCTGGAGCAGACACCATCTGCAGAAGCCACTGTTCTTTTTTTTGTGTGTGTGCGGTACGTGGGCCTCTCACTGCTGTGGCCTCTCCCGTTGCGGAGCACAGGCTCCGGACACGCAGGCTCAGCGGCCATGGCTCACGGGCCCAGCCGCTCCGCGGCACGAGGGATCCTCCCGGACCGGGGCGCGAACCCGCGTCCCCCGCATCGGCAGGCGGACTCCCAGCCACTGCGCCGCCAGGGCAGCCCCAGAAGCCACTGTTCTGCCTGTTATCTCCTTCTTCCCCGCTGGGGCCCCCTCTGGGGGGAGCGCGGAAGGACCAGGAGCCGGGGCGCTGGACAGACAGGGAGCAGAAACAACGTGGGGGCTGCAAGGAGGGACGATGCGCGGACAGAACGGCACACGCGCCAGAAGCGGTACCTGCCTCATCCCCTGACTCCGACTCCGCGGGGCTCTCCCCTCAAGAGTGACCTTTCTTGGAAAGGAGATGGGATGGGGATAAAAGGGAGAGAGAACACAACTGCATGCTGGGAACTTTAGGAATTAATCCAGTGCCTGGGACTTTAAGAAAAGAAACTGCAGCTGCTGGAAGCATTGCTGTAGGAGCTCTCAACCCAGGATTAAAGTCCCAACAGTGCTGCTGAACGTGAGGCGAGTGCGGGGTTATGCCTTTCTAGCACACGCCTGGAAACCCAAATGATCCGGTTCTCCCCCAGGGCTAAAGGTGCAGCCAGGAGCCCCCAACAGGGCCGGCATCAAAGGCAGAGGGCGCACAGCAAGGTCAGGAAGCACTGACACAGATGGCAGAGGTCTGAGGACCACGGTCTGCCTCCCCGCTTTTGTATTAGTTAAAGGGCACGGACGAAACCGAGAGAGAGCATCACGCCCGCTGTGTTCAGGAGTGTTCCAGGCACTCTGTCTACGTGGCCTCCTTCACTGCGCACAAGAGTCTATGAAGCAGATGTTTTTGTGCCACTTTACTGACCAGGAGGCCAGCTCAGAAGAGCCAAGGGTTAGATGCCCAGGATCACAGGAAGTGGTGGAACCAACACTCAACATCAGATCTGGCACCCCCTGAGCGCAGGTGCCCGCGGTCTCCCAGGGCCACCTGCAGGGCTGCTTTCGTGGAGGTCACCCAAACCTTGAGCATCTCAGCCGCAAAATGCCCACAATGACAGCTGAGCTGAGCCCGCCACTCACCTTCACCTCCCTTTGTACCCTCTCTTCCACTTTTCACCCACATCCCACTGAATTTCTCCGGGAAACCTTTGGGAAGTTCTTGGGAAGGAACTGTCACTTCTGATGGTGACAGCATCTCATCTCACCTCTTTCCAAAGATAAAAGGGGCCAATCTTTGATAATTCTCCTCTGCTGGGGTAGAAAAAGCACGTGTGCTTGTGTACATGTGTGCCTGTGTGCCTGTGTGTGTGCATGCGTGTGTGTCTGTGCTTGTGTGTTTACATGTGGTGCGTGCACATATTTTTATGTGCATGCTGTGCGTGAATGCATGTGCACACGAGTGTGCCCAGGTGTGTGCATGTTTGTGCATGTGTGTCCGTGCTGGAGCAGGGACGTACTCAGCGCAGGGCCCTTTCTTCCTTTGGGGAGGCTGCTAAGTTCCTGTGCAGTCACAGGGGCCCAGCCCTGGAAGTCAGGGGACCTGGGGGGAGTACTGCATCAGGTCACCACCTGCCCTTGTTTCAGCTGCTTCCTGTTCCCCGTTATATGGTTCCAGTGACGCGGGCTATAGTGGGAGAAGGGGAGCCCATACTTTTCCTTTCCTGGGATCAAGCAGGGGATGGGCTGAGAGTGAGGCAGCTGGCAGAGGCTTGTGTGAGAACCGGAGACACCCGAGCCCCCGAGGCTACTCCGCGCCTGGCTGGGGCATCTCCCCCTGCTTCCCGGCTCTGGGTGCGCCACCTTGAGAAGAGCAGGTGAGCCGCGGCAGCTGCAGGGTTTCCCTGAAACATCCAGCTGAGATCTGGGAGCGTTTCCCTCACTGGGGCCTTCCCTGTCCCCCGCGCCCAGGACCCTGGGGGGAGCTTGGAGAAGCCCGCTCCAAGCCAGCTTTCTTATCGTCCCTCTCTGCCAGTGAGAAGCAGGAGATGCTCTGAAGGTAAAGCTGGTCTCTCTGCGGGCCCAGGAGGTACAGCAGCCCCGGGGTCACCCCCTGGCGGTCAGAGCCGGCCACCTGCTGGGATGGGTGACTGAAGGAGGTGGGGGATGAGCAGTCCCTGCTGAGCCAGCCTCTACCAACACCCCTCCGCCCAACCCGCTCCCTGCTGGCCCGGAAGCAGTGCCCGGTCCCCACAGGGGCTGCGAGCTCCAGGCACCCTCCCTGTCTGAGGACTCTGCCCGGCAGGTCTGCCCACCGGCTCCCGGGGTGAGTGTTCCACCGGAAGTAAAAGGCTTAACGGACCAGCCTCTGAACGGAGGAACTCAGCCTAATCAGATCTGTTACAAAGAAAGCTCTGCTCACGAAATGGAAAAAATACCCCCTTGCAGTCGCGCCTTTCCACGGGGCCGCGCGTGGGGACACCTGCCCCGCAGAGCCCCACCGACCCCCGGCCCGAGTCGTCGAGGGCCGCAGCAGGCTCCACGGATGCCGGTTCGCTGGACCGCCGTCCCCTCCCCCGCCGGCGCCCCCTGGCCGGCCCCCACCCGCCTCGGGGACCCCGCGCTGTCACCGGGGAGGGGCCGCCGCCGGGCTGGCACCGCAGGGGGCGCGCCGGGAGGGCGCCGCGCCGGGCTGGGAAGCTCGGGGAGGGGGTTACCTTCTGAATGCGTCCATCGATGTCCAAATAGATGGCCTTGGGCCGATAGCTGGAGGAGCCCGTTCCCATCTTGACGAGCGCTGCACTTGGACTTTTTACTGTACTTTCTCGACGCCAGCCGCCGCGGGGAGGGCGGGGAGTGGGAGGAGGGGGCGGGTGG